TTCCTATTCCACAGTTTTATGGAGCTCACTGTAAAATATCTTACCATTGAATTATCAGTGCAAGGAGGGTAATCTATAAAATCTGGAACTGCCAGGCACACTGGTCGGATGGTGTCAGAGAAAGATTCAACTGCTTTTTCTAACCTTCATAAACATTTTTAAACCAAAACTTTTTTTCGAATAATGATGTAGAAAGATGGAATAATGATGAAGAAAGATGGGATAATGATGTAGAAAGATGGGATAATAATGAAAAAAGATCAGATAATGATGTAGAAAGATGGGATAATGATAAAGAAAGATAGGATAATGATGTAGAAAGATGGGATAATGATATAGAAAGATGGAATAATGATGAAGAAAGATGGGATAATGATGTAGAAAGATGGGATAATGATGAAGAAAGATGGGATTATGATGTAGAAAGATGGGATAATGATGTAGAAAGATAGGATAATGATGTAGAAAGATGAAAAAAGATGAAGAAAGATGAAAAAAGATGAAGAAAGGTGGGATAATGATGAAGAAAGATGCAATAATTATGAAGGAAGATGGATAATGATGAAGAAAGATGGGATAATAATGAAGAAAGATGGGATAATAGTGAAGGAAGATGGATAATGATATAGAAAGATGGGATAATAATGAAGGAAGATGGATAATGATGAAGAAAGATGGGATAATTATGAAGGAAGATGGATAATGATGAAGAAAACAGGATAATAATGAAGAAAGATGGGATAATAATGAAGGAAGATGGATAATGATGGTATTATACTGAATAAATCTGTATCCCTAAGAACTAGAATATCTGGAGTCATGGCCTTATCCTCCGAAGTTGACAGATCAGGATGGATCCACATCTGGTCAGCCTTGTACGTCAAGCTCTTAACTAGAAATATTATATTTCAGATCTTAACTAGAAATATTATATTTCAAGATATTAACTAGAAATATTATATTTCAAGATCTTAACTAGAAATATTGTATTTCAAGATCTCAACTAGAAATATTGTATTTCAAGATCTCAACTAGAAATATTGTATTTCAAGTTCTCAACTAGAAATATTATATTTCAAGCTTTCAACTAGAAATACTGTATTTCAAGCTGTCAACTAGAAATATTGTATTTCAAGCTCTCAACTAGAAATATGGTATTTCGAGCTCTCAAGCTCTTAACTAGAAATATTGCATTACAAGACCTCAACTAGAATTATTGTATTTCAAGCTTTTAACTAGAAATATGGTATTTCAAGCTCTCATGCTCTGAACTAGAAATATTGTATTTCAAGATCTCAACTAGAAATATGGTTTTTCAAGCTCTCAACTAGAAATATAGTATTTCAAGCTCTCAAGCTCTTAACTATAAATATTGTATTACAAGCTCTCAACTAGAATTATTGTATTTCAAGCTTTCAACTAGAAATATGGTATTTCAAGCTCTCATGCTCTTAACTAGAAATATTGTATTTCAAGATCTCAACTAGAAATATGGTATTTCAAGCTCTCAACTAGAAATATGGTATTTCAAGCTCTTAACTAGAAATATTGTATTACAAGCTCTCAACTAGAAATATTGTATTACAAGCTCTCAACTAGAAATATTGTATTACAAGCTCTCAACTAGAAATATTGTATTCAAGCTCTCAACTAGAATTGCAAGTTCTAAACTAGAATATTTTATGCTAAGCTCTCACGAAAATGAAGTGGTACAACTACTTCTCATTATTCATTAAATCTGGCCCTGTAGATAACTTTTTGAAATAGATTTTTAATTTTTGTTTTACCATCTTTGTCATCTCCCGTTAGTTCGCTGACAGTCCATGGAGAATTCTAGAAAACGAACAGAGTTAAGAAATAATATAATGACTCAACCCAGATTTAGCACTTTTCATCTTAGTATTATCTAGATGTTAGTTCTTAGTATTATCTAGATGTTAGTTCTTGTATTATTAGTATTATCTAGATGTTAGTTCTTGTATTATTAGTATTATCTAGATGTTAGTTCTTGTATTATTAGTATTATCTAGATGTTAGTTCTTGTCAAAGGATACAAATGTCGAGACTTTAATGACAACCCAATGCCAACCCAAAACTATGAAAATATCCCGATCTCGATATCGATATCCAATGTGGGCACTTAAGATTTGAGAATCAATGCTTTATCCCTTCATTTCCGTTATCCCAGGGTACACTGCGGAATGCAATTTTAATATTTGTTAACATATTTTAATTTTTTTAATTTAAACAAAAAATTGAACATGTAAATTAAAAATGATAGAGTTGCGTTTTTTTACTAGCGTTTTATCTGGTAGCGTTTTATGAGTGTAGCGTTTTATGGGTGTAGCGTTTTTCTAGGTACACCCTAATGATTCAGGCTTAATGTTTATTAAATGCAACATAATGTTAGCATATACAAGCATAACATTATGAGCACTTCAATTATGTAAAACATGACGCTTTGAGCCCATCTTCTTTTTTAACTTTTAATTTTTCCTAAAGCTTTCAGCATTTTCTCTTTGACAAAACAACAATAAAAATGTTTGCGGATTTACTTCATCATAAACCTTCCCAGGAGTCATGTGAGTTGTACAAAATTTGGGCCCGATCGTTATTTTTTATTGTTTGATAATTTAAAAAGAGAAAATATTGAACAATGAAAAGATCAAATCACATTAAAAACCTAGTATTCTATTGTACAATTGAAAGACTGAGGCAGAAGCCAAAATTATTCCTTGAAACGGCTGTACCCAACATTATTCCTTGAAACGGCTGTACCCAACATTATTCCTTGAAACGGCTGTACCCAACATTATTCCTTGAAACTGCTGTACCCAACATGTTTTAGGTCCTCATTAAAGTCTCATCCTTTGCGGATATACTTTTATGTTTCATAAATTTATCATTATCAGGATTTTTAGCAAGCCATGCAAAGAAAAGTTTTCTGTGGAAAATTATTATTTAAATTATGTTTCAAATATTTGTCTATAGGAAATGTTCATAATTAGTTTAATTATATAATATTTAATTTTACAATATTTACCGTTTTCTTGTTGGCCGCTGTAGCACCAATAAAAATCAGTGTCTTCTCACTTGCAACTTTTTGATCCTGAAAGGGACTGTGCTTGATTTTAAGAGACTTAATCCATGCAAAGATTACAATGTCAGATTTACAACAGTACACCTGAAATCTAATAAAAATGTGGAAGATAACCGTCGTTTTTCTGACTCTGAAAAGTGTTTGATTCTGATAATTTCTTCTTTGTTTCTAATAAGCAAGAAATGTCCAACTCACTTTTTCAGAGAAACAATGAAAATAAACAGTAAAAAAACATGGATATTTTTAAGGTTATAATGCAAGGAAAGCTAATTGCAGTCTCGTATACTCTGCGTTCATATTGAAACCAGTTCTCCCTGGGCGGAATTTGTAAACAAGAATAGGTGCATCAGTGTTTGTAATAGTTTCTTATGACCAGAATATTTCATTGATTTTTTTATGTGAAAGATGGATCCCATGTCAGGCTACCGCCCAGAGACAGTACACTGCAGTACAAAAGATGCGTACACCCCTGAAATTACTTTCCTTGCATTAGTGCCTTGGATATTTTATTCATACTTGACTAAGCTTTTAAGTTTACCATTGTAAATCGGACATTGCTATCTTTGCATGGAGGGTCACTTTAGAAATTACGATTAAATTCTATCCCTTTTCCGATATGATGTTTAAGATGAGTTGATTGGAAGTATTTTTTGTGGATTTGGCTTTTCATCAAATTTTTTTTCTGTGACTCCAAAAATCATTAATCTATATATCAACTCATAAATTTTCTCTTTTCAACTTTTATAATACAGGGGAGGGAATTAGTTCAAAATCAATATTTAACACAAAATTAACTAGCTTTTGGTAAATGGTTTCGTACAATTTCATATTAAAATAGTATCCTTGCCTTAAAATACTACAATGGGATCTAAAAACTATGGATTAGGAAGACGACGTGTAAGCAATCTTTTGTTTATTATACAACAGACAGTTTTAATCGTTGCTGGAAAATCAATTTATCAAGTTTATCAGTTCTGTATTTCATGATAATTATATTATTTTAAAGCATGGATACAAGGGAGATACAACTGACGCGGCCCGCCCGAAAAATAGAAGGGAGATACATCTGACGCGGCCCGCCTTACCCTATGATTATACATGCTTTGCAGACGGGTACTTCATTTGTATAAGAAATGTTCAGAATAGGTTATTGTATACGCGGTAGTTCTATTTCATACTCCTTAGTATAGCAGTGCTGTCTTTTATGTTCATTGGATTGTTTAAAATCATAACTTTAGTTTAAAGTCGTCTTCCTTTACACAATTTAATGGGTCCATATCTACCTTGATTTCTATAGGAACACCATCCTTAACTTCTCCAATTGTCCTGATTCAAATACAGATTTTAGCATTTTTAAAAATTAATTATATCATTTTCATTCCTTATGCATCTACAGGGTGTCCCATGAAAAATGACAGGTGAGGTTCGACTTGATCATAGATCTTTGTCTTGTCGATATCGAAACGAAATATTTCATACAACGAGAATAGAATATATATTAGAGGGGAATTTACTAGAAAAAAGTGTAAAACGGCCATTTTGTTGTACTGTTTCCATACTGCAGGTGTACTTCACATATTTGTGCTATATAACCTTTAGGGCCCTGGAACATCATTTTACAGAAAATCTAAAATTAATATTAAAAGAAAACCAAATTATAAAATAGGCTGGTTTCATAATTGACCAATGATCATTTCACATAGACTCTATGCCTTTCACTTTACAAACGATGATTTTCCGTTATAAATATAAATCAAATGATGTTTTTTATTCACCTAATTCATTATAAAGTTTATTTAACAGTTTAAAAAATTCGAAATTGAAATGAATAGTCTAGGGAACATACTGTATTAATGTACTATACTGCACATAATTTGTGAACATTTACACGACTTGTACACTTTGAACTCCCTTTCAGCCTGAAAGGGACTGAAACAATTCATACCGAGAGATTCTCTAAATTCCTCTCTAATATATATTCTATTCTCTATGCTTTCATATCTCAGGTAATTTTGAAAGCACAATAATAAAGACCACAGGCTGGCTGGGCCAATTTTGCGATTTCTAATTCAAATTTTTTATTATGAATTCTTCAATATCTTAGTGCAATAAATTATTTTTATTATTTTAGGTAAATTGTGCCCTAACGGAGTAAATTATTTACCAGGTGGAGTAAATTATTTACCATGTGGAGTAAATTATTTACCAAGTGGAGTAAATTATTTTCCTAATGGAGTAAATTATTTAATAAATGTAGTAAATCATTTAACATAGTGTAGTAAATTTATTACCTAGTGGAGTAAATTACTTAATGGATTAAAACATTTACCTAGTGGAGTAAATTATTTACCTAATGAAGTAAATCACTTACCTTGTGCAGTAAATCATTTACCTCGTGCAGTAAATTATTTATGTTGTGCAGTAAATCATTTACCTTGTGCAGTAAATTATTTATGTTGTGCAGTAAATTATTTACCTTGTGCAGTAAATTATTTACCTTGTGTAGTAAATTATTTACCTTGTGCAGTAAATTATTTACCATGTGCAGTTAATTACTTACCTCGTGCAGTAAATTATTTATGTTGTGCAGTAAATCATTTACCTTGTGCAGTAAATTATTTACCTCGTGCAGTAAATTATTTACCTTGTACAGTAAATTATTTATGTTATGCAGTAAATCATTTACCTTGTGCAGTAAATTATTTACCTCGTGCAGTAAATTATTTACCTTGTACAGTAAATTATTTATGTTATGCAGTAAATCATTTACCTTGTGCAGTAAATTATTTACCTCGTGCAGTAAATTATTTACCTTGTGCAGTAAATCATTTACCTTGTGCAGTAAATTATTTACCTTGTGCAGTAAATCATTTCCCTTGTGCAGTAAATTATTTACCTTGTGCATTAAATCATTTACCTTGTGCAGTAAATTATTTACGTCGTGCAGTAAATTCATTTACCTTGTGCAGTAAATTATTTACCTTGTGCAGTGAATTATTTATCTAGTGGAGTAAACTTATTATCTAGTGGAGTAAATTATTTATCTAGTGGAGTAAATTATATACCTTGTTGAGTAAATTATTTACCTAGTACAGTAAACTTCTGCATCTCCAGCACATGTACAGTGAGCAGCTGTCAATATAAACCTAAACATGCACACTATACAGCAGTCAGTATAAACCTAAACATGTACACTGTACAGTAGTCAGTGTAAACCTAAACATGTACACTGTACAGCAGTCAGTGTAAGCCTAAACTTGTACACCGTACAGTAGTCAGTATAAACCTAAACATGTACACTGTACAGTAGTCACAAGTCAGTATACATCTAACTATTATGTACACATAGTGATCTCTGTACAGCCGTAAAAGAAAGAATTTTAGCCTGCAGTACAATAACCTGCACAATGACCTGTACGATGAACTGTACTGTGACCTGTACTCACAGTTGTATTTTAAAGAATATTAAATTCATCTGTCAAAAGCCTAACTCAAATCAAAACTTGAGGTGTGGATGTTTTGTTGATCAAATTGGCTCCGGAAGCCCACAATGCTGTAAATTATATTTACCTGGAGTTTATGAGTGAACCACCACACTGGGATCTCATGTTGAACATCATAACTATCATCCAGGGGAGAGGGTCTTTTATAACATCCCCTCCCACTATTCTGGTTCCACCTTTCTAAACATTTTACTTGCCGACATCTCTCATCTGCAATCTTTGTAACATGGAATTCCAAATATCAAAAGTTTACTCCATCAGGTTGCAAAATTATAAATTTTGTGTCTGCCCCTTTAGTAAAAGTAAATTCAACTTATATAAAGCATAAAGTCTGACCGCGTCAACCTTGTTGCACCGGCTAGTCCTGTCCATTGAGTACAGTACAAACTGGGAACGGAAAGGTTGACCCGGCTCGGAAATTCAAATGTACTATACGGCTACCCGTGTAATAGGATGTGTAACCAGTAAGCAAATTTCCATAAGAAAAAGCTAATTTTGAGGCTATTTCTTACAGATTTGTCTCTGGACGTAAAGAATTATTTAACAAAAATGTCGTAATTATATTTATATAAATCGCTCATAAGAAAATAAAGATTGATAGACAAAAAAGGGAACCAAAAACAGGTAACCAAAAACGGGGAACCAAAAACAGGGAAACAAATTATTAGCAACAATCCTGTACTATTGTTTTTATAATTTAGTGTTGATAATGATCCAAACCTCGTAAATAAAGGTAATGTTTTGAAAATTTTTTTTAGTCTTGGTTGACCCTCTTCACTTCAGATTATGAAGATTCAAAACAAGATTTGAGTTAGAGATAAATGAAAAAAATATATGGCTATTTTACCTAATAAATATATATCCATATATACTAATGATTTCATAAAAGCATGAAACAATTTGTTTATGAATAAAATGTTATAAGAAGATTGTTGCGTTTCAACTGATATATATAAAGTATATGTATGTATGTTTGTTCGTGTAAATTGTCCAAACTGGCAAAAAATGTTTTACTCTCACAGGTAGAACAACTCGGGTTTGGAAATTAATTTCGATATATTTAATTTGTATGTTTGTTTGTTAGTATGTCCGATCATAACTCTGGAACCCATGGACCGATTTGCCTCAATTTTTTTGGATACTCCACAGAAATGTTCTTAGCTTGGTTTTGATATTTTAAGTCAAGTGGGTCGAAAAAATTTGTGGGGAAAAATAGCTAAAATCGTAATTTGAGACCAAGCGAGGGTAAACAGCGGGATTAACTATGAGAAACCTGGGCAACGCCAGGCACTTCAGTTTTAAATTGCCTCACCTTTTTGGTTTTTATCTTGAGTTTAGCTATTCGGAGATTCTTTTCTTTACAATCAGTATTGTCATCAAAAGCCTTACATTCAGCCTGGACATTCTCCATAGTTTCATCACCAGCAGAGTACAGCCCGCAGACATCTACAGTACAGTACAGTACTGTACTTTACAGCACAGTACATTACAGTACAGTACAGTACAGTACAGTACAGTACAGTACAGTACAGTACTGTACAGTACAGTACAGTACTGTACAGTACAGTAAAGTACAGTACATTACAGTACAGTACAGTACAAAACAGCGCATTACAGTACCAAAAAAAATATTTGAAAATCCATTACCTTTTATATTGTCATATTTTTATTTGTATATATTTTCATGTGGTAATTAAGTTTCTAGACATTTGACACTTTTTAGACAATTTTACCAACCTAAATATTAGTTTGATCTATCACAGGATTCAATTAAACTTTTTAAATCAAACAAACTTTATATTATTGATAGAATTCAAGTTAAACAATTTCAAATTAACGTTTTATCGATCTTAATTGCAGAATAGCAATTGATTGTTTTTATTTTTTTTCCTTCAGAACCAATTGAACAAAATTTCGTGCGGCCCTTGTAACTTTCTGCCTCTTTCTTATTGTGCAAAAAATCGGAAAATTTGTGAAAATTTGAAGTTTTGATTCTTTTGCACTAGCCCATCCCCAGCTGATGGTTCTACCATTCGAAATCAAATTTTTTCAGTTAAATTTTAAAAAATGCAATGAATGTTTTAAAGGCTCTAAACGTATTAGAATTAGTGCATATTTGCTTAAAGCACATTTCAGCTTCTCCCATGGTCAGCTTTAGTGCTAGCCCTTTCAAAATTTTTTTTAATTATTTGATCAGCATAAATCTTTCAGTGGTATTAAATGAGAAGCAAAGAAAAAATTATTTATCCTATTTTTAGCCGAAAAAGCCATAATTTTCAAAATTATGGGATGATTTTGTAAAAATTAGGAGAAACCCAGTAAAAACCATTTAATAAACAAATTACCAAATCTGTTTATCATGAATGTTAGAAAATTCATTGATATTTTTCTTCATGGATGTACACGTTAGATTTAGTTCTCAATGTGAATTAACTAATAATTGGTCAAGTAAAAATACACAATGATCGGATTTTTTTTATTTGATAAATCTGAGACCGAATTTAAAGAATTTGAGCCGAGGCTTAAATGTAAGCCGCGGCTCAAATATTGTTGGTTTCACTTAAAATTATATTCAATGTTACAAGATCTAAGCCGGCGCTTAATTGAAACCGGTTTTTGGAAGATTTAAGCCGTGGCTCAAATTCATTAAATTTGGACACCGGAAGACTTAATATTTGAGAAGTGCAAGACAATTCTCTAATTATTATTAAAGGGAGTGGATGCATATTTTCCAGTGACTTTCCCATATTCACAACGGTTCCCTTTAAACCTCACGCACCACTGCCCCTTTAGTAAAAGTAAATTCAACCTATATGAAGCATAAAGTCTGACCGCGTCAACCTTGTTGCACCAGCTAGTCCTGTCCAAAGAGCTTGGTACAGTACAAACTGTCACCGGAAAGGTTGACCCGGCTCGGAAATTCAAATGTACTGCCCGTGTTTGACTGATATATTTATCGACTGAAATCCTTTTAGCAGCTGAACACTTAGTTTGCAAGCTGTTATATATTTAAGAAATATCAATCGCCATTAGCGTTGCTAAGGGGGGAAAAATACAAAAAAGTAAAAAAAGATAAGGAAAAAACGAAAAGAAGGAAAGAAAAAGTGAAAAAAAGATGGAAAAATCTATTTTTTCAGATACCAATGCTATATGTGTAGCAGGTAATGTTTTTGAAATTTTAGAAATTGTTTGCAAAAACTGATTTGGCAATTTTTATTTGTATGTGAAAAAGTTAGGTTTTAATTATTCTAACAAAAAAATTTTTTTTTTTAAATTTATATTTCCACCATCTGTACCTCTCATTTAATAAGTTAATGATTTACCTTAGATCATAAAGACAAAGTGAAATAAAAATAAAAATTCTTTTAACTTTAAAATTTGATTTGTGGATAACATTTGCATCCTTTTTAATGCTATTTTCCTTGTATGCTATTTTCCTTGTCCTAAAAACTATTTTAAAAGAATTGAACAGATAAGTTTCTCTGTTTTCAAAATGTATAGAATAATTTTAAACCTAACATGTTCACATACAAATGAAAGTTGCCAAATCATTAATTGCAGACATTTTTCACTTTTTTGTTTCCTTATTTCATTTTTTCCTTCTCTTCTGTTTAGCTCAATCTCTCATCTGCAATCTTNGGCTGCCAGGGTTATGCTATGGCAAAGAAGAGCAAGAACACCGCTAAGATTTTAAAAATCATGCACTCGACGACCATACAGGTTTAACTACAAAGAATGAGACTGTAAAGACGACCGCGGAAACTCTTATTAATTGTATTAGCGAAGAAATAAAGAAGGTTACAGTGGAAAAATATCATAAATAAGAAGAAACAGACAGTGAATTCCGTACAGCCGTCTCTAAGTCTCTTCTTTTGTGGCAACCCTGTATATGCAGTAGTGAGTTGAAGAACGAAGTTAGTAAATAATGAAAAGCTATCGACATTTGGATTCAGCTTTGTTTGTAAACAATTAGCATTAATCCTACAACTCTTTATCGACAAAATAGACATCTTCATTTGATGCAGACCTACGTATTAATGTAATTGCTCTTCGATATTTCCTGGTATAGTCATACCCTGTATTCACACACTATGATTTAGTCAATAACATAACATACCCTGTATACACACACTATGATTTAGTCAATAATATAACATACCCTGTATACACACACTATTATTTAGTCAATAATATAGCATACCCTTTATGTACACACTATGTCAATAATATAACATACCCTGTATAACACACTATGATTTAGTTAATAACATAACATACCCTGTATACACACACTATTATTTAGTCAATAATATAGCATACCCTTTATGTACACACTATGATTTAGTCAATAATATAACATACCCTGTATAACACACTATGATTTAGTTAATAACATAACATACCCTGTATGCACACACTATAATTTAGTCAATAACATAACATACCCTGTATACACACACTATGATTTAGTCAATAACATAACATACCCTGTATGTACACACTATGATTTAATCAATAACATAACATACCCTGTATACACACACTATGATTTAGTCAATAACATAACATACCCTGTATGTACACACTATGATTTAGTCAATAACATAACATACCCTGTATACACACATTATAATTTAGTCAATAACATAACATACCCTGTATACACACACTATGATTTAGTCAATAACATAACATACCCTGTATGCACACACTATGATTTAGTCAATAACATAACATACCCTGTATATACACACTATGATTTAGTCAATAACATAACATACCCTGTATGCACACACTATGATTTAGTCAATAACATAATATACCCTGTATACGCACACTATGATTTAGTCAATACCATAACATACCTTGTATGCACACACTATGATTTAGTTAATAACATAACATACCCTGTATACACACACTATGATTTAGACAATAACATAACATACACTGTATGCACATACTATGATTTAGTCAATAACATAACATACCCTGTATGCACAGTGCACACACTTTAATTTAGTCAATAACATAACATACCCTGTATACACACACTATGATTTAGTCAATAACATAACATACCCTGTATGAACACTCTATTATTTAGTTAATAACATAACGTACCGTGTATACACACTCTATGATTTAGTTAATAACATAACATACCCTGTATACACACTCTATGATTTAGTCAATAACATAACATACCCTGTATACTCACTCTATGATTTAGTTAATAACATAACATACCGTTTATACACACTCTATGATTTAGTTAATAACATAACATACCGTGTATACACATTCTATGATTTTGTTAATAACATAACATATCCTGTATACACACTCTATGATTTAGTCAATAACGTTACATAACATAGATTCCTATATCTATTTATATTTCGAATTCTATACCTCATGTTCAAATCCCTTTAAAAAGTTTACCTTTACAATTAAAGTCGTCGTTAGCTGTTATAAGAAGAACTAAACCAGATAAAATGAGAAAGGGGAGCTTCATAGTTCCCCTACAGTACTGGTGAAACTAGACCCTGGATTATGGAACCTTAGAATTCCGACTAATTACTGGATTTAATTGTAATAAAATACTTTTATTTTCAATAATTTCAGCTTGAAGATAAACAATGAAAATAAAACCTTTTATAATTTTATCTTGGATTTATCATATTTTTCTTTTTAAATTGGTACATTTTCAACAAAAATAAATCTCAACTTTTTTTTCTAAATAACATTTTTCTTTCGTCCATAAACATGTGAGGTGACCCAACAAATTCGGGCCCCATCGGTTTGGCCGTTTCAGCGTATATACAGGCAACAAAGTATAAACAATCATAACCAGTAAAAGCGGTCTTTTAGTTTGAGAATTAGAAAATCTTTATCTATAATTCTAATTTAAAATTCGGTGATGGTAATGGACCAAACCTCTGTAGAGTAAAAAAGTAGATGTTAGTTCCACATTTATTGAAAATATATTTTAATCCGGGTTGACCCTCGTCAGTTCTTGAGATAGTTTCTGTCACGAAGATTAAAAACAATATAAACTATCCGTTTTTCATTGGGTTTAACTTATACTTGACATAGTCCTAATTACAATTTTCAAATTATAAAAGGTTATTGGGAAAATGAGCCAAATTAATAATTACTGTTTTAATTTTTCTTCATATTATTTACAGGGTTACCCACAAAGGATAAGGCTTCAGAGACGACTGTACGGAATTTATATTGTCTGTTTTATTTCTTCTTCATATTATATACAGGGTTACCCACAAAGGATAAGGCTTTAGAGACGACTGTACGGAATTTATACTGTCTATTTTCTTTTAACCTAGGGATCGTCATATAATATGAGTTTCTGGTCGTCTTTACAGTTCATTCTTTGTGGGTAACCGTGTATTGCCTAGAAAACGCTTTTTATTATTAATCCCATATCATTATTTGATTCATTATATCCTTGAATTATTGTTTGTATTGGCCGAAGTGAAAATAAGGCGCACAAGATTTGCGTGATCTATGAGAAATATAAAAATATATAAAAAATACCAATGTGGTGGGGCCTTCTCAATGTACACACCTATATACATGGACAAACCAAGGAGTATGAAATAGAAGGGAGATACAACTGACGCGGCCCGCCCTACCATATACATGCTTTGCAGACGGGTACTCCATTTAAATAAGAAATATTTGTCTAATGTCTAATTACCGCGTGTACAATAACCTATTCTGAATATTTCATATAAAAATGGAGTACCGTCTGCAAATCATGTATAATCATATGGTAGGGCGCGCCGAGTCAGTTATATCTCCCTTCTATTTCATACTCCTTGGGACAAACCTATATATTTTATTTAAGGGGCGCATACAGACCTGTTCAGGGGGGGTTTGAATTTTTCTTTATTTCCAGGGGGTTCAGGGGGGTTCAGCATGTAATACCTAAGTTCAAAAGCCATAATATTATTATGTCTGCTAGAGTTTATTTTATGAAAAGGGTAAAAGACTGTAAAGATGAGTTTATAATATCTCCACAAGATGAACAGTGAAGACGGACAAGCTTACTCTGTTTGTATACTTCAATTTTCTTGTTTTCACTATACTAAATCGAAGACTTTTTTAAAAAGACGACATCAAATTCGTCACTGAATTCCCATGTTTATTGGGACACCCTGTATCTTACATACCTAGTTCGAGCCAAAATATTTTTGTGGTTTTCCGAGCGTAAAGAATTAAAAATCAAATCTTCGGATAATTATAGATTAAATCAGAACTTACTTTATTACAATAAACAAAGAAGGTAAGATTAGTGCCAGAAATTCATAGTAGGGGTATGAACAGCCATTTTGTTGGGAGTGGTTGGGAGAGGGGGAGGGGAGGTTGGGCTTTAAGATCCCTAACAAGCCAAATTTATCTTTTAGTCAAAAAATGAAATTAAACTTTCTAACATTAGATAAATGTGATATTTACATAAGATTTAATACATTAAATTCGATTCTTTTCCGTAATTTTAATAGATCTATTTTATTAAATTATCTCTTTTTGCTTATATAATCATTAAAAAACCGGTTTAGAATATTAGAAAAAATTACTACCGTAAAATATGTCGATGTTATAAAACTGAGGTTTGTTATGCAAGCTAGCATAATAGTCGCCAATTAAAAAATATCGCAACATAGAGGAATACATTTCAAGATTCTACAGATAACAATGGTTTTATATATTTTGTATCTAGTTATGTAAAGGAATTGATATTTTTCTAATCCTGAAGTGCCATCGAGTTGCAAAGATGTAGCGATTATAAAACTAGAGTCTTAAGGGACAGTATGCGTGATTTTAATTGACCCTCCATGTAAAAATGGCAATATCTGATTCACAAAGGCACCTTTATTTAATCGATAATTTCTAGGTTTAAAAGTTTATTTCTAATAATTCATAAATGTTTTCCTGCAGTAGAAATGCGCGAGTCAGACTAAAACTTTTAAAGGTGCGGTTGTAAATCGTGCAAGCCATCTGTGTATGGACGTTAACTTGAAATAAAACAGTTCCTTTAAATTATTACATTCTATATATTTATTAATCCATGTCTACAAATACTAAAATATTACATAATTGCTTGTGCTCTTCATGATACTGGCTTGGCATACACGAATACCGGATCTAGGATTGGCTGAAGGGGCATCAACTTATTCCTAGCCCCCCCCCCACTCTTCTCTAATTCAACTTATTCCTAACC